GATTAGTATTATGTATGTGCTTCTATTTATCTTTGTATGTCTTAAACCTATCAAACACAGTATGTGCAAATGCACATTCACAGTCAGTAAAGCAAGAAACTTATTCCATGACAGCTGGGAATCAGCAAAATGTAGAACCTCTGGGGTTAAAGTAGAAAAATATTGAAAAAACCTTCTGTGTTGTAGAGAACTTGTTCTGAAACAAACTAGCATCAGCAGGAAGTCAACAGTTTCTTTGTTTGTCATCTTCCTGAGGCTAAAGAACATTAAATATCCTTTGTTGTCCTGTATGTGCTGTCAGGGAATCCTGTGAGTCCCTTGTAGATGGGCAGGAGAAAAAGACCTCAGAAGCTTAGACAAGAGTCACAGATAAAAATAATCAAGAAAGAGCAGGCCATCGGAGCACACAGACCCCAATTAGTTCCATCATTATTTGTCATTGCAAGTGTAGAAAAATAAAAGTCTGCACTTAGAGAGAATGGTCATCTTACAGTTCCCCAAAACTTCCCCTTTTTCCTTGGGGTATCAATGATCCAGAGACCTGCCAAGTTAGATTTTATCCTAGTCCAGTTTAACTCTTTTGGCAGCAGTCCATTCCATTCCTGCCATAACCAAAGCTAAGATCTGAGGCAACCATGCCAGGGGATTGTAGAATATCATAATTCCAGTCTAGAAAGGCATTTCTCCGTATCACATTCCATCTTTTAAATTGTTTTATTTCTAAGTTTTAGGGCCTTTAAATTTGGAGAAATATAACAGTCTTACTTTAAAAGTTAACATTTTTGGTTAAATGTCTCTGTCCAAGTATTTGTTGCAGTCCTAGATTCAGGTATGTACAACCAAAAGCTGAGCTGAAAAAGTATGACTATAATATCTGGTCACTGAAAACAGAAGGATTTCTGGAGTGAAAAATAAATGCTACAGAACTATGAGTTTTCATTTGTACTGTCTGATTTTTGAACATATTGGTTGCCTATCCATGTGTGAATAAAGGGCAAGAGTTTGTGAAGAAGTAAGGGCTATATGGCATTTGGTAAAGATTTATGCAATTTTAAAATTTTTCTTTTGACACAAGGTGAAGCCAAGGTAATAATGATGACTTTCCATCTTGCTGCAGATGCATTAAGAACATTTGGAGACTTCAGAGAAAGTGTTTAAAAAGGTTTGTAGTCCTGTGGGAGTGAATTTCCTTTCTCACATGCACAGTCAGCAATGCTTCCATTCATCTGAAGAAAAGGGATTCCTCTCTCCCTGTGAAGGTGTGGGAAGCTGCAGGAAGGTGCGGGAAAGAGGGGAAAGGTGCAGGAAGGTGGGGAAACCTGCAGGAAGGTGCGGGAAGGGAAGGTGCGGGAAGGGAAGGTGCGGGAAGGGAAGGGAAGGTGCGGGAAGGGAAGGGAAGGGGAGGGAAGGTGCGGGAAGGTGCGGGAAGGGAAGGTGCGGTGCGGTGCGGGAAGGTGCGGGAAGGGAAGGTGCGGGAAGGTGTGGGAAGGTGCGGGAAGGGAAGGTGCGGGAAGGTGTGGGAAGGTGCGGGAAGGTGCGGGAAGGGAAGGTGCGGGAAGGGAAGGTGCGGGAAGGGAAGGGAAGGTGCGGGAAGGTGCGGGAAGGTGCGGGAAGGTGCGGGAAGGGAAGGGAAGGGAAGGGAAGGGAAAGATCGGAA